ACCAAGGACTTTGTGTGGATGGAAGTGGATGGAGGCTCGTTGACGTGGGAGTCCTGACTGCCTGGCAAGTCCACGGCAATGAGGCAGGTCCAAGGCCAAGCTGGGAAGTTGGGTGGGAGTCCAGATGGAGCTCGGTGGCGTACACAGCCAAGCACGGGCATGGCTGCAGCGTAGCACCAAGGGTGAGCATCTCAGTTTGAACACAACTCTCAAGAGAAGTGGGGAGGAGTAGGGGTGGTGATGCTGCTGCCAGCTCTTTCTTAAACACCTCTTGCTTCGCAGCCATTAGAACCCAGGTGAGACACCTGCACCCTCACACCCGAACCTGCTGAACCAAGCTCTCGTTCTGGCTTAGGTTGCCACTAAGGCACCATTTGTGTTTCACAACAGCCTGTGGATCGCTTAAGTTTTTATATAGCAATCTTATGTTATGCATACTGTAATTAGCACACTATTATAACCACCTTAAAAGTTTGTATCTTATACGCCTACTTTATGATGTAAACTTATGTTATAAAAACAAAGTATATGACTTTAAAAATGCCTTTAAGCTCATGTGATTTCATCTTTTGGAAACACAGCTACAGGCAGTCAACAGCCCTCTCAGAGCAGAGCAGTGAGCCCGTGCCACAGAGAGAGAAAGCAATAAAGTCACCACTAAAGCCAGCCTGCCCCAGAATGGTTAAGAGAAAATTCTGGAGGGCTTTTTGGGGTACTGAAGCAGACAACATGGGGCTGGAAGGGAGCCTGAAGGGTCATCCTCTCCATCTCCTGGCCTCCAGCTGGGCTTGGGCTGCTTCAAGCATCCTCAGACGTTGCTCGCCACTGCTGGACATCGCACTCCTCATGTAGTCTATCCTTGAGCCAGGCTGTCCTGCCGGGGAGAATGCATTTTTCTTAATGTCTACCCTAAAAAAGGCTTTGCCATAATTTCAGCTCCAGAGCCAGGATGGTCCCAGACACCGTTTGAGGACTGTGATGTGGTAGGTTTAAGACCACGGCCCGGCATACGAGGGAAGGATATCATTTACTGGCTTAGGCTCCCCAGCTTAGCAAGCGTTTGTCCTTGCTGCCTCCCAGCTGCAGATCCCGTGTCCCTCTGTGCTAATGCAGTAAGCCTCCCGACATCCCCGAGGGCAGCAGTTAATCCCCTGTCCTGAAACACAGAAAATTTCCACTGGGTGCTCCCAGGCACCCGGCTGGCGTGCAGTAAAACCACCCTGCATCTCCTCTCCCCTGCACGGAGACACGCTGCTCCTCTGCCAAGGGCAGCGGCTCACAGCTCAGCCCCCCACCTCAGAGGAAGATTTCAGCCATGGTTTAACAGCAGATCCAGAAGAAACTGTCCGGCCAGATCTCGTAACAACACTATCCCATTGGACACACCTTTATTTCTCCCACCTCAGACTTCCACGCTTCGCCTGGAGCTTCTTGCCAGCCGGCACCTCCATCACGGTGGGACCAAGCACGTGGAGGTGCCACCCATCCTTGCTGCCACTGCTCACTGGCTTCAGAGCTGTCACCCCTCCTCGCATCTCCCGTCCCCTCTGTGCATTTCAGGATCGGGAGCGCGGAAACCCGACAGCAGCGCCTGTGGGGGAAGATCAGGAGCGTGTGCTGGGTGCCTGCGACGTGGTTAACCCCGGTATCTCAGGGGTTAATGAGCCCTGACATGGGGGTGCCCCAGCCTGCCTGCTTTTGGGTGTTATTTTAAAAGACGGGCAAGGAAAAGCCCCCGCATTTGGGGGCACAAGAGCTGCAGAGGCTTCAGAGGCGGATTTGTGGCCATTAGACCAGGGCAATAATCCACCTCAGTACCCTCACCGTGCCGAAACCAGGCCCGGGGAGCCACGGCTGGCGAGGGGAACTGGACCCCAGCAGGGACTGGGAAGCCACTGCCGGCCAGGAGACGGAGGCATGGGGACACGCACGTCCCCATCCTTCACTGCTCCCCCCATGCTGCAGGGTCTGCTCCCCAGAAAGGTGTCTGCCTTGGAGCAGAGGTGTCCCAGTCTGCTCCCCCACCCACGAAGCAGCTGGGGCTGGGATCCCTTTCCCTCGTCCGGCTTAGCCGGAGAAGTGCCGGACCCGGCACACGGGCGGCTGCCACCGTGTCGATGGGAAACCCGATCTTTCCCGCGGCCGGAGCAGAGGGATGGCCGGAGCGGAGGGATGCCACGGGGCTGAGATCACGGCCTGAAATACCCGGAGAGAGGATCACCACATCGGGCCAGCCTGCCTGCCGCTGCCAGGCCCTTCATGGGCAGCATCAAAGCCCCCAACCCCGGCACAAATGCTGCCCACGGGACCCCCGTGCCCAGCCCAGCTCCAGCCACCAGCCTGCACAGGGACACCCGGCAGCGGCCGGCCGCATTCCCGGGAGCAGCGAGGCACGGGGCCAGCACCACAAGGCACTAAAACCAGGGCGGACAAGGCAAAGCCACGGATGCAGGCAGGATCCGGGTAGACCCCAGTGCCAGCAAATGAGTCAGGGGGCCGGGATGGGCGGGCGTTCCCCAGGGAATGGCTTCTCGACCCAGTGATGCCGCTTGCGGGCTGGTTTGCAGGTCCCGCTTCTCCCGTCCCCTGGCAGGGGACAGCGTGGGTGGGAGGTCCCGGGAACACCTGGGAGGGGAATTTCCCCCAGCCCCATCCCTGAGACCGCACCGGGACTCGCCTTTTGAAAGGAACCAGAAAACCAAAACGACTTTCGACCTTCCCTGTTATGGAAAACGAAGGTGGCACCGGCGGTAGGCGCACCGCGGCGACCTGGCAAGCTGCCCTTCCTTCGCCGTGCGCTGGGGAAGGAGCCGATCCCAGGACGCTTCTGGAATCGGCCCCAAAACTCACCACCCTGACGAGTGGAAGAAAATTGCTGTTTGGGAAAGAGGGCGGGAGCCAGCTGGGAGTTTCCAGAGGGATGGGGTTGTGTTTGCGGGGTGATGTGAGTCACAGGGCTGGAGAAGGACCGGCCGGGTGACGCCAGGGGACAGGATGCTCCCCAGCGTCACGCTGCCCCGAGGCAGGGCGAAGCCGTGCTGCGGGCAGACGGTGCCGGCTCCCAGCAGGACTGGACCTTCTCCAGACACATGCGGACGGTGACTCCGCTCCCCGTCACCGCGTCCCTCCTGTGTCCTGCACGAGGGTCCCGGGGCCAGCCCCGGGGCTGCTAAACCGCGGCTGTCCCTGCACTGGGGTATGGAGGCACCAACCACGGTGGGTACGGCGGCCCCGGCTTCGCCCCGGGGATCTAGGGCTTCCCGAGGCATTTCTGTGCCTCAGTTTCCCATCCCGACACCGGGTGGTTCCTCCCTTCCTGCCACGATAGGTGGGAGATTGAACCCCGGAGCCAAGGGTGGAGTACGACAAAAATAGAGCTTTATTTCAGGACAAGTGCAATCAGAGCCGAGTCCTTTGGCCCCCGGCGCAGAGACGGTGAGTGCGGCAGCAGCCACCACGGACGCCGCACGCGGTGGTGCTGGTGCGCCCGTCGGAGCGTGCACGCTCGTGTGTGCCGGCGTCGGTACCAGGGCGTACACACGCTGGGATGTCCCTTTGCTGAGGAGAGAGTGTGCCGTGCCCTGCTCCGGCCACGGCAAACTGGGAGGGATGGGGCTGGAGCCGGAGCCGTGGTGGCCGGGAGGACACGGTGGGGACGACGACAACGGCGGCAGCACCGCCGGCACCCCCGTGGGATCGGCACGACACGGTGGGGTTGGGGACAGGAGAGGGGACGCTCACCCGGCCCGACCCTGGGTGTCCTGTTCAGCCACAAGAACCGCGCGTACACGCAGCCCCGGGTTTACTCCAGCCAGCAGAGCTCAGTAGTGATGCACACACACGTGCAAACACACACACAAGTGCACGCACACGCACACGCACTTGTACACATGCACACACACCCCCACACACACGCAGAGCTGTGCACACACGGAGGTGCATTTGCACACACACGATCTGTGCCGATGTGCGCGCAGAGGCCGTGCACACCAACACACCTGTGCACACCTGCACGTAAGGCTCTGCACACACTTGTGCACGCAGTACCTGTGCACAGCAGCACACCCCTGCCCACACGCATGAGATCTGCTTGCACATGCAGAGCCTGCACACACCGACGCATGCATGCTCCCGTGCACAGAGCTGCATGCGGGGATGCACGCACAGAGCCTCTGCACACCAATACATGTGCACACCTGCACACAAGGCTCTGCACACACAGCAACACGCTTGCACATGCGCTCACAGAACCTGTGCACGCCAGCACACACATGCCCACACACAGGTAGAGCCGTGCACGCAGACACATTCATACATAGAGTCTATACCAATGCACGTGTGCCCACGTGCATCAGACTGACTTGCACACGCAGAGCCTTCACCCACCAACACCCATGCACACATAGCCACACGCAGACCTGCTCACACCTGCAGAGCCTGTGCACACCCAGACACGTCCACGGGCACACAGACCCACTTGCAAATGCAGAGCCCGTGCACATCAACACGCACGCGTGCAGAGCTGCGCACACCAAGACGCACGTGCGCACCAGCACGCACGGACGCACAGTGCTGTGCACAGCAGTAGACACGTGCACGTGGAGCTGCGCACACCGACACGCGCACGCACGGCGCCATGCACAGCAGCACGCGCGTGCACCGAGCCGCGCGCGCAACACGCGCGCGCACAAAGAGCTTGTGCGAACCGGCACGTCCACGTGCGCGGTGCCACGCAGAGCCGCGCACGCCAGAAAACACGCGTCCGCACCAAGCTGTGCACGCTGGCACGCGTGTGCGCGCGCAGGGCCACGCGCACCGGCGTACCCGTGTGCGCACGCAGAGCCGTGCGCGCCGGCACACCCGCGTGCTCAGCACCGTGCACCGCAGCACGCCGGCGCGCACACGCAGCCGTGCACGCCAGCCCTCCCGTGCGCCCGCAGAGCCCTGCTCGCCCACACGCTTGCAGCCTCCCCGTCCTTCCCCCGTCCCCGGCGGGGACCCTACTCCCTCCTGGGGGTGCCCCGTCCGGGCCACGCCGCCCACCGTGCCGCGATGAGGTCCGGTTGGTGGTACATGAACATCCCGGCCAGCATCAGCCCGATGCCCAGGTAGCTGAGCCCGCTCAGGTGGCTGCCAAAGAGGAGGCGGGAGAGGAGCAGGTTGCCCACCGCGGTGACGTTGCCCAGGACGTGGACGGTGAGGGCGGAGGTGAGGGAGAGGACGCAGAAAGTGGCCAAGTTGTAAAGGACGGAGCCCAGGCAGCTGAGCAGGACGCAGGCCCAGAGGGTGCCGTCGTAACGCAGGACGCCCTCCCAGGAGGGACCCACTTCCAGTGCCACGGCCGCCCCGAAAAGCAGGCAGAAACTGGGCAGGGAGGTCAGGCAGAGCAGGGAGAGGGCGTCCAGCCGGTCCTCCTGCAGCAGCAGACCTGGCGGGGGGTGGATGGGGACAGTCAGCAGGACAGACGGAACATCCCGGCGGGGACACCCCGCTCGGTGCCCGAGTGGTTAAGAAATCCCTGGGAAGGGGGAAATGGGAGGCAGGCGGGGGGGGCGGGGGGAGCTCTTCCATGGGGCTGGGGGTGCCCTGCTTCAGGGGGTCCCCCGGTTTGGGGGTTTCCCCCAATTTGGGGGTCCAGGGTGCCACAGGGCAGGGTTGGACGGGGCAGTTTTTTCATCCCGTTTTGGAGCAAACATGGCTTCCACCCCCGTCCCACCCATCCTCTTTTCTCAGCCGATTTTGCAGCCGGCAGTGACATTTCTGGGCGCGTGGCCCGTCCCCTCTGTGTCCCCGTGTGTCCCCCCCCAGAGTCACCCGGGGACAGCGGGCACAGCCGGGCCGGCTGCCACGCACAGGCATGCACGGGGAGGGGGGGCGTGGGACGGAACAGCCCCCGTCCACTCTCCCATGTCCCACGGGTGACAAGGGGACCAGGGTGGGTGCCAGGCGGCGATGTCCTTCGGGTGGCCGTAGCACCCCTCGGTACGGCCGCCAGCGGTCGGTTCCCCCCGGGGACGGCACGGGGCGTGCGCCCGGCGCTCAGCCCCACGCTCAGAGCCCGTCCCCCCGCGGTGCCCGCCTGAGTCACCAGCTCCGGAGGAAACGCTCCCTTCCCGGCCAAAAAACAACCCGGCCGGCTCCTCTCCGACGCCTGCCAAGGACATCGCGGTCCCGATGGCACCGCGGCTGCCGGAGCGAGTCCCCGGCCATGGGGGACGATGCCACTCGGCGTGGGGAGTCACGGGGATGGGGACGGGGCAGCTTGGGTGTCCCTGTGCCAGACTAAAGCACTGCCACCTCCCCACGGCTCCGGGACATGGGACGGTGTCACTGGGAGCCAGCAGTGCCCGTGGGCCACCACAGGGCCACCAAGGTGTTGGCTAGGTCACCGACAAACCGGGGTCACGTCCCCAGGATCACGGCACAGCCCTGGTGGGGGGGGCAGCCGGGTGGGCAAGGGGTGGCACTGGGGCTGGGGTGACACCAGAGCCAGGGTGGGCAGCGAGTGATGCCAGGGCCAGGGGGGCAACGGGTGGCCCTGGAACGGGGGCGGCACTGGGGCTAAAAGGCTGCTGGGGCGTCACCGGGGCCAAGATGGCAGCAGGTGGCACCGGGACCGGGATGGCGTGGGGTCGGCACCGGAGCCAGGATGCCACGAGGGTTGGAGCGGCAGAGGAGCGGCACCGGGGCCAGGGGGGGCAGGGAGCGTCACCAGCACCCCGGGGCACCGTGCCGGGGGGGGGGAGCATGGGTCGGTCGTGCAGAATGGGGACGGGCGGCACTTACTCTGCTGGACGGACTTGAGGGCGCGGAGGACGGCGGCGGCCAGGAGGAATCCGCAGCCGGGCTGGTAGATGCGGAGCCCGCCGGCGATGCTGCAGGCGGCCCCGGCGCAGACGGGTCCCATGGCGGCGTACTGCAGCGGGTGATGCCGCCGGCCCCCCAGCAGCCCCGACAGCAGGAGGGTGACCAGCGGGGTGGTGGTGGCCACCGCCTGCGCCACGTCCAGCTGCACGTAGCTCAAGCCCAGGTTGCCCAACGCCACGCTGGTGCAGAAGGTGAGGCTGAGCAGGTAGATCCTGGCGCGGGGACGGGGGGACGGCGGCGACGGCGGTCCCCGCGCCCAGCCCAGCGGGTACCCCACGGCCACCCCCGACAGCATGTGGAGGGACGACAGCAGCAGCGGGTAGCGGAAACCGTGGGTGGCGAAGATCCATTTGTTGAGGCCGGCCATGGTGGTGCCGGTGCCCAGCCAGGCCAGGACGGTGAGGGTCAGGGGCAGCGATGGCACGGGGGGCGGCCGACCCCCCTCCGCCTGCCCGGGGTCCGGTTTCCAGGGCCGGAGGGTCCCCTCGCCGGCCGTCATCGCCGCTTCATCGCCCCGCTGGGACCTCCGGCACATGGGCGCCGGCTCCGCTTCCCCCCGCTGCCGCTCTCCACTCTGCCCCGTCCTCCCGCGCCCGTGCCGAAAGCCGCCGGCCCCAGAGGAGTCGGCGACGGTAAACGGCGGCGACAGTAACGGATCCCCAGCTCCCGCTGGCGGCGGTGGTGGCGTCAGCCACCCGGTGGGGTGCTGGCAGGGCTCAGCCCCGGGGTGCCGGTGCCATGTGCCAAGGAGGCAACGCCGGCGGCCGGCAGCGAGCGGAAAGTTTGGTGATGGCGGGG